ATACACATATGTATGTGTATATATATCATACATACGTATGTGTCTTTGCATTTTTCTTTATACACCTATGCTTGTATTTTTGCATCTATGTGTAAACTTGTATATATAGGTGCATTTGTATTCATATTTATACTTATAGAGATGTAATGATTGCTCTGCCTATGTTTATCTTTTGATCTATGTTTAGAACTGAACTTATGATAGTCTTATAACTAAAGCTCTAGGAATATTTCTGTAAAAAGGATTTTGTATTTGTGGGTGTAGATATATTCATAGCTATGTCATCTGTAATCCTTTTTGGGTGCCAATATACTTCTATATGCAGTCCATGTGGGGCTCCATCAGTCTTTGTGGGACTCCTTCTTAGCTTTTGGTAGCCGGGCTCGTGGCAGCAGCTGCACATAAAATATTCTTGGGTGGGCCACTGCTCTAGCAAAACGACATGCGCATACCGGGAGGTGCGGCTCTGAAGCTACATGGAACCCGACTTGCACGTCGCAACTGGTATTGAACTTTGGCTTCAATGATTTCGTGCTTCCCAGACATCCTCTCGGCTCCCTCCAGGCGTCAGAAAAAGGGTCGAACACAAAAGAACATAGCAGCACTGAAAGCAGGGGAACATGCACAACTCATCTGAAAACCAACTCCAGCCTGGTCGGCACCATGTTGCAGTAGCTCCTGTGCAAGGGCCGAAGGCATCCATGCCGCATGCCAGCTTAGTGCGTCTGAAGCTGTTCACTGTCGAATCAGCTGGGAGACCGGACATTGCGTGTGGAGTTGGCTCTACCGTCGGCATCGCTGCCTCGTTTTCTGCACGAAAGCGTAGCTCAACAGTTGAGACATCTCCGCGGCCTGGCTTGGACGCCTGCAGCGCCTCGAGGGACCGCTGCAACTGCTGCTTGTCGCGCTCTGCCTGGCGCATAAACGAGCTAAAACAGACACCACCACAGGCTACTGCAGCTTGTGTGTGACTGCAGATCTTGTTTTGTCCCACGTCGGCGATGGAAAGTCACTCAAATGCCTGACTTCAAGTCAGCACCCCGTGATACCCCGTGGCTCTCTGAGCCTCTTCCTATAGCGCCGGAAAACGCCAGCGTGGAGAATGAAGGCTGGCTCAGTTGAACTCGAATTCGCTTACGGCCAGACTTTCCGGTGAATTGGCTTCAGAATTAATCTTCCGTCCCGGTCGGTATCCAGCCTGAGTTCAGTCAGGGATCTTCTTACCGACTAGAACAGCACAGTACAAAACAACTTTCTACGTTCGATTGTTTCAGGACTCAGCTGACCCAACCCCACGCTGCGCGGCTAGGGTGAACACAACCGGCCACGTAAATGCTCAAATTTAGGTTTGAGTTCGTCGTAGAACGTCGAAGGGATAATTGCCCCAAGGCATTGGGTATTAACGTAGGACAAGGCTCCGATTGGAGCTTCGGTGGAATATGGGAGGACTTCTCGTCCCTCCCAGCGAACGAAGAACAAACGTGTTAATGTCGAAGCAGCGGGTGAAGCTGTATGGACTGCATGGAGTGTGACGATAGAACACATGGAGAGTCCTTTTAGCAAGAACGAAGTGCTTCGTCCTCGCATCTCGAATCGAACAACGTCGACACCTCGGAGGCGGAGATCTCCCTCCTCGTGGCGCGAGGCGCGACGGGCGGGTCAAGCGCAGTCTCCCAGGGGTCGGTGTCTCAACGTTGGACGGGGCCGCAAGATTGGTAACATGAAGCACCGAAAGTGCGCAGCATGATTCGCAACCGGAAGTCGTTAAGGGCGCAGCTCGCTTCTAGCACCGGAATCTAACCGGCCAGAGACTCATGGCCCCAGGAAACACCGGTGTCGGCAGAACGAACCGGCCTTCCACATCGCCCTGGCTGGCCCTGCTTGGTCAAGAAGCGGAGACTTTTTGGGGAGCCCACGGTCATCATGATGGCGGCCACGGCCCATGTGACGAAACGACACGACTCCGATGTCGCCTGGGGGCTGGGGGGTTGGGGAGGAGAGGGACACGGTCCGGCCATGACAGAGAGGAGACGCATAAGCGGCAAGACGCATGAAGCTTGAAAGTCTCGAGCGCAGCAGTTTTACGCACGGCCGTCGCCTGAACATGTAACCACGTGCAACATGTTGCACTACACGACAAGCGCGCAAACCGCAACCGCGCGAACCGCAAAACTTTTTGGAAAGGTTCGACACAGCGTGGCTGCTACGTTCAAGTTGCCTGTTTTCTGTGTCGCTTCTCCTGAGCCCAGCAGCGGCACCGGCGACGACAAACAGCGGCATCAAATGCTCAGCAGCGCCCAGCGGCTGCGCATCCCGGGCCGATGGAGCCGAAGCCCAGTCAGAGAGGCGGGCAATGCGCTCCTCCAAGAAATCTATATCGTCACCATTGTACCCTGACCCTTTCCGCTGTCAGCATCGGTGTTTCTAACTATCTAGTTATGCAAAAAAGACGCTGTGCATCGCATGCTGTAGGCCTCCGGGGTCAGTGCTTCTGAGGTCAGCGCTTCCGTCAGCCAGCGATCAAACTTCTGCGAGTGGCTCACACCCTCGAGTCGCTTTGCAGGATCTCTCGCCTGACGAAGGCTGGAGCTGACCGGAACCCTGCACAGAAGCTACGCCAGCTACGCAGAAGCGAAGACACTGCTGGGACGGCCAGGCACAAAGAAGTAGTCGAAGTTGTGGAAGGAAGCCCCAGAACCGAGGATTAAGACACCCTGGTCGCGCAAAGGCTGCAGCGCTTCGCCAGCAGCCATGTGCGCTCGAGCATCCTGACGATAGATAAGACTCTTGTCTAGTCACACTTCCGCTCTGCGTTCACTTTGATCTGGCGTGCCTGGTTGCTGTATAGGGACAGGGCAACCAATGGGATATCTGCCTCAACAAGCTTTGCAGGCTGACTTCCCGCATGAGCATCACATGGCATCACAAGATCGACCTGTCGGCATTGTTTTACATCCAGCCTTTACACCTCCGAAGCGCCGTCAAAGTCAACGGTCAATTCCGTTACACCCAGTGACCATAAGTAGTCAAGTAGTCTTACGCCGACCTGCTTGGCCAGGGTGCTTTGGGGAACATCAGCATCATGGGCACGAAAACTCCATGATCCCAGCCACGTGTGGCGTCAGAGGCGCACTGAATCCCCTTCTTGGTCAGGAGCCCGACAATCTGCTGCGCCAGATCAGGACTCCCTGGAGCAGAATATTGATATTCGTAGCTTTCCTGCCAAGAATCGCGACATCGCAGATCATTCCGGCTGTGTCTTTCTGCTGGCGGACGGTGGGTTTCGATATCGTGCAAAATTCTTTCATTCAGCTCCAAGAATTAAAGCCAAATGAAGCCGGTGCACGCCCGCCTGTTTGTTCGATCGAATACCGTTCGTTGAGAAACCCCTCGTGCCAAGAGCTGACAATGGTTTTTTTGCTCCTGTTTGGGAACTTTTCACGACATGAATTACCTTTGCAAGAACCCCACGTGAATCCTGGCTGGCTGGATCGAAGGAGCAGATGTCCGAGCCTGTCCCCCAACAGATTGGGAACCTAATGCTTCAGGGCCTGACCAGCTTTGTGCCCCTGCGCAGCGCATGAAACAGCAACAGCTGGTTGGAAAGATTAGACTTAGGACTTTCAGAGTGCTGGCAAGCTACGATTTCCAGGAATAATGAATTTTTATGATTCGATACGGTTTTGATATGATTTCA